GCCAACAATCTGACTACACAAGTGCGAGATATCATCAAGGTTACCACGGCTGTCGCAAAGGGTGATTTGACGCAAAAGGTGCAGGCTGAGTGCCGCGGAGAAATCTTTGAACTGAAGAAAACGATCAACTCTATGGTGGACCAGCTCCAACAATTCGCACGGGAAGTTACCAAGATTGCCAGGGAAGTCGGAACCGAAGGGCGACTTGGCGGACAAGCAACGGTACATGATGTTCAGGGCACTTGGAGAGATCTTACGGAAAACGTCAACGGTATGGCTATGAATCTAACAACGCAGGTGCGAGAAATAGCAAAGGTCACTACGGCCGTCGCTCGGGGTGACCTTACCAAGAAGATTGGGGTCGAGGTGCAGGGTGAAATTTTGGATTTGAAGAACACCATCAACACCATGGTGGACCGCTTAGGAACATTCGCGTTTGAGGTCAGCAAGGTGGCCAGAGAGGTCGGCACGGATGGTACACTCGGCGGTCAGGCTCAGGTCGACAACGTAGAGGGCAAATGGAAAGACCTCACTGAAAACGTAAACACTATGGCCAGAAACCTTACATCACAGGTATGTCCCCGACTCCTTTTTCAACTGGCTACTTCATGCTGACAACCGATATAGGTCAGAGGGATTTCAACTGTCACACAAGCCATTGCCAATGGAGACATGAGCCGGAAGATCGACGTCGAAGCCAAGGGCGAGATACTCATTCTGAAGGAAACCATTAACAACATGGTTGACCGGCTTTCGATATTCTGTAACGAAGTGCAAAGGGTCGCCAAGGACGTCGGTGTCGACGGTATCATGGGTGGACAGGCCGATGTTGCTGGCCTGAAGGGAAGATGGAAGGAAATTACTACCGACGTCAACACCATGGCCAACAACTTGGTACGTTATCAAATATGCCGTTTTGGTGAAAATTCCTGCTGACTGGCCCAAACAGACGGCTCAAGTACGAGCATTTGGTGACATCACCAATGCCGCAACGGACGGGGATTTCACCAAGCTAGTTGAAGTTGAAGCGTCCGGTGAAATGGACGAGCTCAAGAAGAAGATTAACCAGATGGTGTACAACTTGAGAGACAGTATCCAGAGGAACACGCAGGCCAGAGAGGCAGCCGAGTTGGCCAACAAGACCAAATCCGAATTCCTTGCCAACATGTCCCACGAGATACGGACCCCAATGAACGGCATCATCGGTATGACACAGCTCACTCTCGATACCGACCTCACTCAGTATCAAAGGGAGATGCTCAACATTGTCAACTCGCTGGCCAACAGCCTGTTGACCATCATCGATGACATCTTGGATCTGTCCAAGATCGAAGCTAGGAGAATGGTTATCGAGGAAATTCCCTACACGCTGCGTGGAACTGTCTTCAATGCGCTCAAGACTCTCGCTGTTAAGGCAAACGAGAAGTTCCTAGATCTCACGTACCGAGTCAATAACTCGGTGCCAGACCACGTGGTGGGTGACTCGTTCAGGTTGCGCCAGATCATCCTGAACCTGGTGGGCAACGCCATCAAGTTCACCGAGCATGGCGAAGTCAGCTTGACCATTCAGAAGGCGTCTCACGTCCAGTGTGCGCCCTACGAGTACGCCATTGAGTTCATCGTGTCCGATACGGGAATAGGTATTCCGGCGGACAAGCTTGATCTCATTTTCGACACGTTCCAGCAGGCCGACGGCTCCATGACACGCAAGTTTGGCGGTACCGGATTGGGTCTCTCCATTTCCAAGAGACTGGTCAACCTGATGGGCGGCGACGTGTGGGTCAAGAGCGAGTACGGCAAGGGCAGCAAGTTCTACTTCACGTGCGTTGTCCGTCTCGCCAACGATGATGTTTCGCTCATTGCGAAGCAACTTACCCCCTACAAGGGCCACCAGGTACTGTTTATCGACAAGGGCAGGACCGGTCACGGATCCGAGATTATCAGGATGCTCAAGGAGCTGAGCCTCGTGCCTATCGTTGTCGACTCGGAGAAGAGCCCCGCGCTGGAGAAGGCTCGGACTCAGCAAAATTCGCCATACGATGTCATCATTGTTGACTCGATCGAGGACGCTCGCAGGTTGAGAGCGGTCGACGACTTCAAGTACCTGCCCATTGTGCTCTTGGCCCCTGTGGTTCATGTTTCGCTCAAGTCCTGCCTTGATCTGGGCATCACGTCGTACATGACCACGCCATGCCAGCTGATTGATCTCGGCAACGGCATGGTGCCTGCCTTGGAAAACCGCGCGACACCCTCGCTGGCGGATAACACCCGCTCGTTCGAGATTCTGTTGGCGGAAGACAACACGGTCAACCAGAGGCTTGCGGTCAAGATCCTGGAGAAGTACCATCATGTGGTTACCGTGGTTGGGAACGGCGAGGAAGCTGTTGAGGCTGTCAAGAGGAAGAAGTTTGATGTCATCTTGATGGATGTTCAGATGCCTATCATGGTATGTCGCCCCTTTTCAACTCGCAACGTTTGTGGAGACTCTAGCTAACGATTTACAACAGGGTGGATTCGAAGCCACATCCAAGATCCGCGAGTACGAGCGCAGCCTAGGCAGCCAGCGCACCCCCATCATCGCCCTGACGGCGCACGCCATGATGGGCGACAGAGAAAAGTGCATCCAGGCCCAGATGGACGAGTACCTCTCCAAGCCCCTCCAGCAAAACCACCTCATCCAGACCATCCTCAAGTGCGCCACGCTCGGCGGCCAGCTCCTGGAGAAGAACAGAGAGCGGGAGCTCGCCAGGGCGGCGGACGCGGTGACGGGGGGTCGGAGGGACAATGCCGCGCTGAATGCGTACCAGCAGAATGCCAGCAGCAACGCGGGCGCTGCGGCGGCGGCGGCGATCTCGGCTGCTTCTCATGTGAGGCCGAGCCTGGCGGCAACGAGGGGGATGACGGCCTCGGAGGCGCTGACGGCGGGACTGGAGAGCCCGAGCATTGTCACTGCTGATGCGGAGGACCCCTTGAAGGGAGGGGTTGGGAGGTCAAGTACTAGTCTGTCGGAGCCGAATATTCACCATCATAGCACTACTGCGCCTAGGGGGCAGAAGTAGTGTTTTTTGATGGGTTTGGATTCTGGGGGTTTCATTTTCAATATGTTTTGAGGCACTTTTTCCATCGATTTTTTTGAGGAGCAAAGAGCGGTATACTCTAGCTATTTGTCTTTCAGGGCGAGCATGAGGTATTTGTGAAGGGGAAAAAAGCAAACAAAGGGCCAAGGGAGGGAAGGGGGGGGTTGGGGGGTGATGTGGGGGTTGATGTGGGGGCTGAGTAGGTATGCGTGTGTGTGTGTGTGTGTGTGTGTGTGTGTGTGGTTTTGGGCTTTCGGTATCTCATGGTTTTGGGTAACATTGGGGCACATTTTTTGTTTTTGAAAGGGGTTGAAAGGGGTTTTTCTGGAATCGGGGGTTTCATGTCTTTTTTGTTTTTTTATGTAGTTCCATTTTTCTGTGTTGCGACTTTACTGCAGAAATTGTAGACTGTGC